CCGTGGCAGGGGGACAGCGGAGCTGGGACTTTCTGCCCGGAGCGGGATGTCGCCTCCTCTGGCTCTGGAGTTCCGGAGCGCCGGGCGCCGCGGCCGTGCTTGCCGGGGCGGCTACATTCGGAGCAGTCGTGGTGCCCAGCTGGATGACGGCTTTGGAGCGGGGGCGTCAGCACGGAGGGGCTTCCAGTGTCGTCCACCCAGTCCTGAACACGCAGCCGAGCCCCGGGGCAGGCAAACGCGGTGGGATCGGCTGCTCCTGGGCTCGCGGGTGCCGCGCGGCCACGCACCCGGGCAGACCTCGCATCCACACGCCCCGGCAGCCCCCCACATCCCGGCCCGGGGCCGCCTTCCGCAGGGCCTCCTGCCCCAATTCCCAGAGCGAAACGGGGGGCTGAGGTCCCTCCTCAACCTCCCGGGGCTGCTCTCGCCCCCCTTGCCTCTGGGAGGAGACCCTGGGGAGGGGGCTGAGAGCAGGTCCTCTGAACTGCCCCCACCCCTGCAGGGTCCCCGCACGTCCCTTGAGACCCCAGGCCCCACAACGTCCCTCAAGATGCACCCTGCCAAGGGCATCCTAGACCACTCTGGATGGCCTGGGTGCCCCCGGGGCTCTCCAAGGACCCCAGCTCCTGCAGGGTCCCTCTAAGCCCCTTGCTCAGGTCCCTCAGGACCATCCCCCAGGACACTCCAGGCCAGCTGGGTCTCCTGGGGTTCTTCAACCCCAAAGGGTCCCCTAGATCCCGTAGGGTCCCTCAGGGCACCCCCTGAACTCCAGACCCCAAATAGTCTCTGGGGTCTCCCTGACCCTGCAGGGTTCCTCAGAACAACCTCTTAAGGCACCCCAGACCCTGCTGGGACCCCCCCTCCCCAAAGGGTCACCTCCTAGGGCACCCAGACCCCACTGGGTCCCCAAGGACCACACAGAGTCCTCAGGGTACCCCCCAATCCCCAGACAGTGCTGGGGCCAGGGGGGCCCTTGACTCTGCAGAGCCTCCTGGGGCACCCCGAGCCCAACGGGCTCCCGTGGCCCCACAAGGTCCTTCAGGGAACCCAGAAGGACCCGGGACCCCAAAGAAGCCCGGGGTGTGTGTGGGGGGGGGGTCCTGACTCTGCAGGGTCCTTCAGAAGAACCTCCTAGACCCCCCCCCAACGCCACAGGGTCCCGAAGAGCCCGCAGAGCCCCCAGGACACCCCCCAAACCCCGGACAGCCCCGGGGGGTCCCGCAGCCTCCCCAGACCCCCCTCCCAACCC